GCCACCACGCCCAGCAAGACATTAAATTTTTTACTACACACACAAACACACACACACACACACACACACACACACACACACGCATATACACATATGTTAGCTGTAAGCCTGTAGCCTGCTGAGGGCAGTCCTGCTGGTGAAGCAGCTTTCTTTTGCCAAGATAGGAATCAAAAAGGGAAAATTACAAGTCAGTACACAGTAAGCAGCTGCTCCCAGGCTGGTGTTTTACCTCAGCCTAAAAAATGAAACTTTGGTTGTAAATTAGGAGTGGGAAAGAAAGTTAGAAATGAAGTGATAGAGAATGTTTTTCTCATTTGTAATTAGAATTTTATAAGGCAAATTTATTTTTCCATTATAACAAAACAAAAGCATCACAAAGATTATTACTGAGATTTTTTTTAGCTCAAAAATTTGATTGTTGTTTAATTCTTTTGACTGTGTATGAATGTTTTGTCTACATGTGAGTGTACCACTTGTATACAATGCCTGTAGAGGCCAGAAGAGGGTGTTGGAACCCCAGAACTGAAGTTCGGGATGGCTATTAGCCTCCATGTGAGCCCTGAGAACAAAACCCTGGTCCTCTGCAAGAGCAGCCAGTGCTTTTAATCGCCAAGCCAGCTCTCCAGCAGAAGAACCTTACTACTTTTGATTCTGAATTACTTGACTTCATCACAATCTCTGTTTAGTGCAGATGTTAAATGTTAATGTGTTATTTTAACAAAAGTATATAAATATAGAGCAAGCCTTTTTTGCTTTATCAGTAACTTTAAAAACCAAATGTATTGTTTTTGTCATATTATAGAATACTGTATGGAGTTCCTGTTAAAAGTGGAAAACAAAAATATGTCAGCGTTGCTCCAAAACCAGAGAAATCCCCTGAATTGGCACGAAGAACTCAACAGCACACTCCCAAGCCAGGCCTGCAGCTCTTGGGAGAAGAAGTAAGAATTCTGAGTAATAGTCATTTTCTCTGCCTCACAGGTTCTTAAACTTTTTGATTTAGTAACCCTTCAATATTCTTAAAAATCATTAAGAACTTCAGTATTTGTTGGTATAAACTATATTGGCATTTGCAGCTCTAAAATTAAACCAGAAATGTTAAAATATTTATTTATTAAAATAATAAAATCATGTGTTAAATATGATTTCACAAATGTATTTTTGTAAAAATATGATTGCTTTATTTCTAAAGACAGTGCCTTACCCACAGCCATTCAGCCCCTGAATACTGGGATTATAGTCATATATCACCCTGCCCAGCCATAGTTACATTACATTTTAAAACACCCTAATGTAGTGGGAAAACTTGAATTGGTTTTAAAAAAATTTTTTTATTTGCTCATTTGGAAAATCTCTGTATCATTTGTCTTTTTAGAAGACATCTAAATTTTCAGAGAGTCTGCATCAAGTTTTTGATTAGTTGTTTTGGCTGAAATATATAAGAAAAATTGTGGCTTTGCACAGATGTGTAGCTGGAAAATAAAAAAAAATCAGTAGTATTTTTATATAATTGAGCGTATTCTTAAGAATCTTTAAGAATACACCAAAAGTTAGTAAATGATGATTTCCTGAGAATTAGTTGTGAAACTTCCATTTTTGGGCAAGATGGGGTAAAATTATTTTTTCTTATTCTTCCTGAAAAGGTCTAAAATCTCTGGGTATCACAAACACAGAGAAGAAAACACATTATCTAGAAACTTTAGGACCCAAAATATAGCATGGTGGACATTAAGTGCCTGGGTTTTCTTTTTACTTCATATGTTTTGAACTTCAAGTGAAAAAGTTAGAAATCTGGAAATTCAAAAAATACGCACCCCCCCTCAACAAATGCACTCCAACATGCATATGTACATGCTGCAACATACACATGCCCCAACATGCAGACACACAGGCCACAACACACCCACATCCCCAAAACACACACACACACACACACACGCACACACACACGCACATGCACACACACACACGCACGCACACACACACGCACGCGCACACACACACACGCACACACACGCGCACACACACACACAGAGGCTATAGTACACGTGTACCCTAAAACCCTAACATATATACACTCAAATGCAACAAATGCAAACGTTATTTCAAGCCAGGATGAGCTACAAAACAAAAATTTTTTTAGAAAAGTAACTGTTGAATCTGTACAGACACTGCAGAAAAAGTGTGCTCCTTCTCCTTTCCTCTCCCAAAAAAGGCCTAGTGACAAAGACACCCTGTGCCAGGGTGTTGCTATGAGAGACAGTGTATGGAGCTGTGTCTTGGCTGGGATATAAAATGTCTCCTGAAGGCTCATGTTTTGAAGACTTGGTCTCTAAGGCAAAGTTCAGGTATGGGGCTTTGGAAAAATGATTGGGATGTACGGGCTCTGATCTAATCAATGGAATATTTCATTGATGGATTCATAATTCAGTGACCTAGTGATGTGGTGAAAACTGGGCCCGATGGGAGGAAACAGGGAAGCCAGGCATGCCTTTGAATGGCGTTGCTTATCTCTGGCTTCTTCCTCTCTCAGTCTGCTTCCTGGCTTCTGTGAAGTGAGTTCCTCTGTTTTGCTGCATCCTTCCTGCCACACTTCCTTGCCTCAGGCTTCAGTGATACAGCCAGCTGCAGACTGAAACTGCTGAAGCCAAGAACCAAAATGGATGCTTCTTCCCCTGAGTTGCTTTTGTCAGGTTTTTTTTTTTTTCTCATTGTGAAAGAAAGTGACTAGGTGAGCCAGGCCTCCCTCAGTGGAGTGGTGAGGAGGCTTCCTTTCCATGTAGTCAGTTGAGACCACATATGAAGTCCATCCCCATTTCATGACCCATTTCTTGCCTGCTCCACTGTGGTGGTGTCAGAGGAGGTCCAGGGGAGTGTAAGCTAACAAGAAAGTTTAATAAGGTCTAGCTTTTCATGACATAAGGCTTAAAATATCCAGATTTTCAAGAACTAGGAAAAATCTCATAGTAAATATAAAAAGGTGGCGGCTGGAGAGCCTTCTGTTACAGCCACTACAATAGAATTTCCCTCCTTTTTGTGTTTGTCAGTTGAAGTTAAATTATCTCACTGATTCAGGGCTGGAGAGATGGCTTAGCTGTTAAGAACACTGGTTGTTCTTGCAGAAGACCCAGGTTTGAATCCCAGCACCCACATGGCAGCTAACAACTATCCGTAACCCCAGTTCCAGGGGATCCGACAGCTTCTTCTGATCTCCGTGGGCATTGTACGACACGGGTGCACTTACCTACATGCAGGCAATACATGCATACACATAAAAAATAAAAATAATAATAAATAAAATATAAAAAATTTTATGTCACTGATCCAGTTATGTATGGACATAGAGGAAATACTTAAGGCGTTATATTATAAATGGGAAAAGATAAAGATACACAAAAGAAGTAAGCCTTCTCTATACTGTCTGGACTACAAGGATCATGGCACCAGTAGACTGTGATGTTATTTTTATATAATATCTAGAGCAATACATGAAAATCTACACAAAAGTATACACAAAAGCACGAGTAAAATAAAAGTAGAATCCAGAATGTGTTCAACTAGCTGACAGAAAGATTAGGAAAAAAAAAAAACCAAACAAAAAGAAAACAGAGAAACAAAAGAAATCAGCAAAAACAAAAAGAAAACAACAAAGAATAAAATGGCAAACTCAGTCGCTTAACTAAATGCAAAGTGATTAAATATTTTGATGGCAAAAATGCCAGAGTTAAAAAACATGACCCAACTGTATAGTTTCTGTAAAAACCAAGCTTAAAACATAAGATTAGCCAGATTTATAGTAAAAAGGTTAAAAAAGGGTGTCATGTAGACATTAATCAAACAAAAGTGCTAGTGACTGTATTAATATCAGATAAAGTGAACTTCCAGGCACAGCAAGGTATCAGAGACAGAGAGGGCTTTATGATAAAAGTGTGGCTATACCAAGACACAGTGATATTAAAAAGTACAAACATCAAATGACAGAACTATAAAATATGAGAAGACAATCTCATAGTCATAGAATTGAGAAGAGAAATATGCAAGTCTTTGATAATAGTTGGAGTCTTCAACGTTCCTCTTTTAACATCTGTATAGAAGACTTAGAAAATGAGCAAAGGGTGTAGAATTCAGCAAACCCACTGACCTGCAGGATCTACTTGAAACTTGAACACTGAGTGCAGCAAAAGCAAAACACACATTCTTTTCAATTACCAAAAAGTGTACACCAGGATAGAGTAAATCCACTATTAAATCAAACTAGAAATCAATAACGAGGAAATAGCAGGAAAGTCTCCACACACTATAAAATGATACAATATTGTAAATAGTCCATAGCTTAAAGAGGGAATTTCAAAGGACTTAAAATCCACTGAAATGATGAAAATGCATCACATCAAAAATTGTGGGATGCAACTAAAAGAAAAGGGGGTAGGAAATTTTAAAGCATAATATAATAGAAGAGAACGTTTCAAACGAATAATTTAAACTCCCACGTCAAGAGCCAAGTAAAAGAGCAAAATAAACCCAAAGTAAGCAGAAAGAGACAGTAACAAAGAGCAGAATTCAATGAAACTGAAAGCAGGAAAACAATAGAGAACAACCAGTGAAAACCAGCTCTGAAAAGATCAGTAAAATTAATCTCCAGTAAAGCGGACAAGGAAAGAAAGGAAGTCACAAGTCAGCAGTATTATAAATGGGAGCGTCTCCAGAACCTGGAGCGTAGCCGAGGAGCATCATGGTAGTACTACAAGCAGCTCTGTGTGCATTTTAGTTTGACATCTCAGAAGAAGTGGAGCAGTTCCATGGGATACGCACACAAGTACAACTTGTCCAATATGAAAAATAGGTAGTTTTAATAGTTGTGTAACTTTCATGGAAGTTGAATTATGAATTTAAGAGTTACCTACCTTCTTTCAAATATCCAGGCCCTGATAATTTTGCTAAATTTCTACCAAGTATTTAAGAACGAATTAACACAAATTCTACACAATCTCTTCCAGAAATCTCTTGCTGTTAAGTGGGTGAAGCAAACTGTGATACATTGTGGTGATTGGTTTTAACTGTCAGCTTGATGCAATCTAGAATCACTTTCCAGGAAAGTCTCAGTGAGGGATTGTGTATCTCTGTGCTAGGGCTCTGGAGCCCTACTGAGCTTTCCTCTGTGGCTGTGCATGTGTGTGGATCTGGCTCCTGGCTCTAGGAAGCCTGCCTTGAGCTGCTGGCTGACCTGGGTTGCTGGTAGGGGTCCTCTTCTGTCACCCCATCACAGGTTCAGAACTCCCTACAATTGTGGGTTTTTTCCCTTTGTCTCTTCTTTTGCAGATTTCCGAAGTTCTTCAACTTCTCTCTCTTTGGGATAAGGTCTCTTATTTGAGGTAAAGTCTCCCTCACTGGCTCACACTGAATCAGCCTCTTGTTTGCCATGTGACTTGCAAGTCTTCGCATTATATAATATTCTTTAACAAATTATGGGAGTGGAGAACCCATTTCTGATTTCTAAGGTTTCAAAAGAAGTGACAAGACTTAAGGTGACTCCACCATCCTAGTAACCTATGACTAGCAAAACTAGAAAGTTGGATCTTTATCCAGGTCGGAGATTTTATTTTCCTGACCAGCCTTCTTCTAGGGGGCTTCTTGATACTGTAACAAATGTATTGTTTGAGTCATAAAATTGTAGAAAAGTTTGTTGCAATCGATATCTGAAACCTCATCAATGACTTTTGTGTATTATCACATTAATGTCTATCGGTGTGTCATATGCTGAATGAATCTTTTACTCATGTATGCTTTTGCAATATCATGCTTTGGCCACTGGAGGAAAGATAGTATTCATTAAGTTACTCAGCTCTTCAATGGTGACCATGCTATATACTTAACCAGATTAAAGCAACTCAGTCACATTTTACATTGCCGAAGTCTGTAGGAATGCGGATCTGACAACAGA